GATGGGGTCGTGTGGTGCCGAGGGGCGGGAGAGGTCGAGCGGGAAAGACGAAGCCGAGAGCGATTCGGTACGGTTCTTGCCCTCCCTCGCACGAGTGTCCTTGGAAGAAGACGGCGCGCCTGATGTCGACGTCCCCGACGGCCTCGGCAATACCCGCTCGGGGAAGAACAACGTCTCGACGATCTTTGACCTCCAAACCGATTCGTGTGCAGGCGAAAGTCCGACGCAGACGAGTTCGTCGGGGAGGAGCGAGAGAGGTGGTGCATCGGGCGAAGTCGTGGAGAAGCTCGTTGTGCCCAATGAGGGAGACGGGATCGGAGAAGTAGTCGCGAGTGGAGGAGAGAGGGGCGTCGGCGTCGAGGAGCTCATGCTGAGCGAGTTGGAACGCGAGAGGCTCAGCGAGTTGGATCTCGAGGCGCTCGCACTGCCTGTCCTGCTCCCGCTCCGATCGCGCGATCCTCCTATGCTGCCGCTGCCCGCGTCACTGAGGACGAGCGAGCCCATCAAACCGCTTGCAAGCGGGTCGTCCTCGTCCGCCCACCCGCTCGACCTCCTCGGCGTCCTCGCTCCACTCACGCCAATTCCCGCAGCACTCATTTCCTCCTCTTCCCTCTCCCTAAACGCCCTCATCTCCTCCTCCATCCCCTCATCCGCCTCTGCGAATCCAAACCCCTCCTGCTCCAAGATCTCCGTCGCGAGTGGAAGAGCCGAGGAGCGGAGGAGGATATAGTCTGCGTAGAAAGTCGAGATGAAGAAGATGCTTATCCCGGCCGAGGCGAGAGGGGAAGTGAGTGCTTGTAAGCGCGGGGCGGCGGTCGACCACCCATTTCCGCCGAAGGCGATTTCGAGGGCTATGAAGAGGTCGTCGCCTACGACGGGTTTGTCGTCCTTGTCCTCGCGGGATTTGCCTTTCGTGTCGGAGGAGGGAGGTGGGCGGGGAGATATGCAGTCGGCGAAACAGCGTCGGACGGCTTTGGCGTCTGCAAAGAGGGAGAGCTCGACTCCGTTGTGGCACAGAGCGAAGAAGGGGTCGTCCCTATCCACCACCCAACCATCTGATCAGCCTACGCAGAGGCGGAAGCTCTGGACGGACGAGTGAACGCACTTTCTGCGAAACCACCAGCAGTCCAGGATCCGGCTCATCTCGGCATGCAGCTGGCCGAGGGGGATGTGGACGAGGCGCAGGTGCGTGGGGAGGATGGTGATAGTCGTTTCGGATGTCATGGTGGGCGAGGGATGGGAGAGGTGTGTCGGGAGACAAAGGCGGGGGTGGTGAGGAGGGGAGGACGCTGGCGACGGCTGGCTTGGCGAGGTGATGCGAAATAGGTGTAAAGACGGTTTCGGGTGCAGTCGAGTCTGGCTCAGGCGAGTGTTGACGCTTGGGCGGCGTTGAGAGATGAAGTCAAAGTCGAGGGAGTCCCGTCTGTCTTCCTCGCGGCTCGATCCGATGCGCCGCCTCGTCGATAGTCTCAAACAGTCTCAAGCAATCTTTTCAGTGCCTCACTGTGGCAGCTGGTGCGAGAGGGCGGGTGTGAGCCGGAGTCGAGAGTTGTTCGAGGCGATCAAGCGAAGGAGGGCTCCTCGCGGGTCGGGAGTTGGACGGCCTGAGTCGCGTGAGCAGTGTATGACTAGTGCGATGGAGCCAGTCGCTGATTTAGCGAGTGCGATGCTGATCTTTGCGAGGTGGTCGGGAGGCGGACCTCGCCGAGAGCCGACGAGCAGACTCGCTCGCTCGCTCTCTCGCTCACTCTCACCAGCTCACAGCTAAGGACAATGGCACCGACAACACAGAAGGAGGCTGCATCCCGAAAGGGAGACTACGACGCAGTCCGCCGCGTGCGCACCCACTCCCCTCCTCGCCTCGCCATCTTCCCACTCACCCGCAACTGTTGCACGGGCTCGCAGGACATCGCATCCATTCTCAAGCAGCCCGACTACGACGACGGAAGCATCGGACCCGTCCTCGTCCGGTGCGCACCGCTCCTCCCTCGCCCCCGTCTCATTCACGGCCATTCTCCGAGCTGACCGCTTTCTTCGCCGGCCGAACAGGTTGGCGTGGCATGCGAGTGGAACGTACGACAAGGTGCGTTCAGAGTCCGGGTCGAGCGAGGGAGCGATGGGCGGGCTGACACTCGTCGATCTCTCGCGTTCGCAGGAGTCGAACACGGGTGGCTCGAACGGTGCGGGCATGCGGTGCGTCGCAGGACTGCCGCAATGTCTCTCTCTTGCTGAGCGAGAGAAGAGGCGCCCGAAGCGAGACTGACGCCAGGTCTCCGCTCATGCAGGTACGAGTGCGAGGGAGGCGACCCTGCCAAGTGAGTTTGTAGCGCCCGCTCCGTCCTCGTCTGTCGTTCGCCTCTGCGACAACGCGAAGATGATCCACGTTGTCTCCTCCACGCATGCTGACCTCACCCTTCCCCAGCGCCGGCCTCGAACACGCCCGCCGCTTCCTCGAGCCGATCAAAGAAAAGCACCCGTGGATCACCTACGCCGACTTGTGGACTCTCGCGGGCGTCACGGCTATCAAGGAGATGGGCGGGCCAGAGTGCGCATGGAAGCCGGGAAGGACCGACTTTGTCGATGACAGCAAGGTGAGTTGGGCGTGCGAGAGCGTTTGGGTCGGATGACGGGGTCTGTCGCGATGCGGTGGTGCAGTCGCTTAGTGTGACTCCATCTACGTCTCTCGATCTAGCCCTTGTCATCGCCTTTCCCAGCCTTGCGCATCCAGCGCCGAGCGAGCTGACACCTCCTCCTCGCTTACACAGTGCCCTCCCCGCGGCCGCCTCCCCGACGGCGCCCTAGCAGCCGACCACCTCCGCCACGTCTTCTACCGCATGGGCTTCAACGACCAAGAGATTGTCGCGCTCGCCGGCGCGCACTCGATGGGCGTGCGTCTCTTCTCCATTACTCCCGAGTTTCTTTCTTTCACACGATGGCTGACGAGAGGGGATGGGTAGAGGTGCCACTCGGATAGGTCGGGCTTTGAGGGCCCTTGGAGCGTCACGCCGACTAAGTTCTCGAACCAGTACTACAAGGTGCGTTCAAGCGCTTCCCTGCCTTGCCATCTTTCGAGAGGAGCTGACGAGCCTCTTTTCGTGCAGATGGTGCGCTCTGTTGGACGTCGCTGACTGAGCAGGAGCTAGTTTGCTGACGGTTGCCGACCCGCATCTCCCGTTCCTCTCCTTCTCGACTTCGCTCCTCTCGCTTCGTTGCCTCGCGTCTCGTTTGGTTCCGCCTTGCCTCGCGCACAGCTCACCAAGTTCAAGTGGGAGAAGAAGCCGTGGCAGGGACCTATCCAGTTCAAGGTTCGTCTCCCCTCTCTTTCTGCTGCTCCTCCTCCGTTTGCCTCGGCCTTCTCCGTTCCTCCTGGTCGTTTTCTTCAGCTGCTGATTGTTACTGTCGATTGCTTGCAGAACGAGGATCTCGGCGAAGGTGAGTCTGGCTGTCCTTGCCCGCCTTGGTCTCCCTCCGCCGGATGGAACTTCGCTTCCGCAACCTCGAACTGACCTCAGCTATTCGAACCAACTGAGTTGATGATGCTCCCTACCGATATGGCGCTCATCGAGGACAAGGAGTTCCTCCCTTACGTCAAGAAGTGTGAGTTGGCGTTCTGCTGCCGTCCCGCAGCTGTTCCCACGCTCTCGGGAGCCTCTTACGCGTTGGGAGGCCCCTCCAAAGACGCTCAGAGAGCTGACGATCTCCTCGCACAGACGCCGAGGACCGCGAGGCGTTCTACGACGACTTTGCAAAGGTGTTTGCGAAGCTGATCGAGCTGGGCGTCGAGCGCGACGGCAAGGTGCGCACCGTCGCTCTCTCCTGATTACTACGGTGATACTGACGATGTTGTGCGTCTGCAGTACGAGAGTGCGCCGACGTTCTCGCAGGAGGCGGGCGACAAGAAGGAGCAGGAGGCCAAGAGTAAGATGTGAGGAGCGCCCGCCGCTCCGCCCCGTCCCTCTTCTTGTTTCCCGCAATATACGAACTGTGTGTGTGCAACTGTGGCTGTTTGAAAGGAGTCGCGATGATTGCGAGTGAGCCCGCCAAGATTCTTCTTGCTCCCGACGCACCTCCGTTCGCTGCTCGTCCTCGCTCGCTCTCGTCGCCGTCGCTCGTTGTGTGCTGGGATTACTCGACTGCACGTGCTAGCAACGCTACTACCCTCGCAACCAACCCACGGACTCGCGCGATCCACACTCACACCCTCGCTTCATCGCCTCACCTCCTCTCCCTATCTCCCTCGCTCTCACCCTCACTCGATGTCCGCCCCCTCACCCGGCTCAAGCACCGGCTCAACAACAACAGCAATCGCACACTTTGTCCTCGCGCACGCGGGACAGCTCTTTGCGCGCTCGCAATTCGAGCCGGCGCATGGGGATCCGGTCAATGCGAGTTTGTATACGGGCGCGGGCGAGCCGGAGGAGGCGACGTGAGTTGCTTATTGTGCGGGCTTGGGCGGGAAGAGCGAGGGAGGGGGGCGACAGGGAAACGTGGGAGTTGGTCGGGTGGGGAGGAGGGACTCGGTTTGTGGCAGATGCAGTCGACGAGGGTACTGACGGAGCCTCCCTTTGTACAGACACGAACTCTTCAGCGTCGTGACCGAGGTGCGCCTCCTCCTCTGTCGCTCCTCATCGACTTGAACCGTCCCGCTGACCTCCACTTCCGCCTCGCTCTTCTTCGGGATACAGGTCAACATCGTCCATCTCGCCATCGTCATCCTTACACTCTTCATCACTTTCTTCGGGCTTTTCTCGTGTGTCCCAGCCTTTCCCTTCGAAACGAGAACGCGGGACTGACCTTCACCCGTCGCAGCGGTTTCGTCAAAGAACGTCTTTATGTCGGAGAGGCTATCATCGCGACGTGTTTCGGTATTGCGTTCTCGTGAGTCGGCAGCCTGCTACGACAACGATGAGACTTGAAGCTGACGAGGGTGGTGAACTCGCAGGGGATATGCGGCAGGCATCTTTGCGCCTCGAACATGGGCACTCGGTGCGTCCCCTTTGTCACTCTCAAAGCCAGATAAAGGCTGACGATGCGCTGAACAGGCCATCACACGGACGAGATCACCCTCGAACTCACCCGGATCATCATCGCCCTCTCGGTCTTTGCGGTTGGCGTCGAATTGCCCAAGTGCGTCTTGCTCGGCTGATCTTTGTCTTGAGCCATGCTGACGAGTGTGTGGGTACAGAGCCTACGTATGGCGGCATTGGAAGAGTCTTGCGATGCTCCTCGGGCCGATGTGCGTCCACCTCTTCCTTCGCGCTCACTCGCAACTCGCTCACCTTCGCTCAACGCGCGCAGCATGTTCGCCGGCTGGATGGTCGCCGGCGCTCTGATGTACGCCATCATCCCCGGCCTCGAATTCCTCCCCGCCCTCGTCCTTGCGGCGGGCGTCACCCCTACCGATCCTATCCTCGCGAGTTCAGTCGTCGGAAAGGGCAAGTACGCGCAGGAACACGTCCCGAGTCATATTCGACATGTCCTCCAGGCGGAGAGTGGGTGTAACGACGGGGCGGCGTTTCCGTTCTTGGTGAGTCCCGGCGGCGAGCGGTCTCGTCGGCTTGCTCGTGTCGAGCGTGCAGAGCTGATGTCTTGAGCTCCGGTGTCATCTCACAGTACCTCGCCCTGTTCCTCCTCCTCCGCGGCGAGCATTCGATCGGCCAAGCAGTCGGCTACTGGGTCCTCCTCGTCCTTCTCTACCAAATCATCCTCGGCGTCATAATCGGCTCCGTGATCGGCGTCATCGCGCGCAAGATCCTCAAGTTCTCGAAGCGACGCGAACTGATTGATCGCGAATCGATGGTCGCGATGTATGTCGCGCTGAGTCTGTTGACGACGGGTTTGACGACTCTTGCTGGGAGCGATGATTTGTTGGCGGCGTTCTGCTGCGGGACGGCCTTCGCGTGGGATGACTGGTGAGTCGCTGTGGAGGTTCTGGCGTTGTGCGGACCCTTCTGTTCGCGGGGGAGAAACGCTTTTGCTATGTCGCGCGCGACTCACTCACTCGTCCCGCTCACAGGTTCACCGAGTCGATTGAAGAGTCCAACTTCTCGTCCACGATCGACCTGCTCGCCAACTGCGCCATCTTCATCTACATCGGCGCGACGATGCCCTTCGACGCATGGAACAACGAGTTGACCACCCTGACCTGGTGGCGCCTCTTGCTCCTCTGCGTCGGCATCCTTGCCCTTCGACGACTCCCGAGTATCTATGCGCTCCAGCACTGGATTCCGGATATCAAGACGAGAAGGGAGGCGGTCTTTGCGGGTCACTTTGGGCCGATGGGCGTTGGTGCTATCTTCATCGTGCGTTCCTTTCCTCTCCCACTGAGCCAACGAAGTGATGCCGACTCCGCTCGTCGCGCAGTCCACCCTCGCCGCCTCGAAGCTCCCGACGCCGCACATCCCGCCCGAAAACAGCGTTGAGCGCCTCTCGCTCATGATCGTCCCCGTGACGTACTGCATCGTCCTCTGCTCGATCCTCGTCCACGGCCTCACTATCTCCTTCTTCACCCTCGGCCGGCGCGTCCACTCGCGCGTCGCCTCCTTCTCACGCACCTTGACCGCCCAATCGTTCTTCTCCGGTTTCGGTCGGACGTTCTCCTTCGGCAATAATGGCGGACGGAATGCGAGGGAGGCGGAAGAGCCGAGCTGGATGTCGCGCGTCAAGAGGGCGACGAGGGCGGAGGATATCGTAATCAATCGGGATGATGACGATGAGGTGTCGCAGGAGAAGCGGGACGGGTCGCAGAGTCCGGAGAGTTTGGCGGAGAAGGGCGAGGCGGGCGCGGTGGATGAGGAGGAGAAGCGAGGGATGGAGGAGGGTGAGGAGCTCGAAAGGCATGCCGAGGAGGAGGTCAAGGCTGAAGGGAAGGAGCCTACGCCGTCTGAGGTGGAGAGGGAGGTCGAGGAAGAGGTCGAGCAGGACGATGGCGACCTTGCGATGTTTGGCGCGCCGACGAAGGACAAGGTCGGTGCGGGCCAGAAGGAGCGGATCGTCAAGGAGCGCCATGCGAAGAAGGTTGCCGACAGTCGCAGCCAGTCGAGGGCGCGGACGCCCGAGGACGGACCGGGCGACAGGGACGAAGACGTCTGCGAGCGAGGCGGAACGGACGTCGAGAAGGAAGTCGAGTGTGCGGACGACGTCAGGCGCGGGCGAAAACGGGCGGAGAAGCACAAGCGCGAGGTGCGGGAGGACGAGGAGCGCGAGCGGGACGAGCACCCCGCACACAACATCCTTGGCGACGACGGCGAGGACGAGAGCGACTCGGCGTCGGCGAAGAGGCGGTATTCGGACAAGCATGACGGCGCGAAGGGCAAGGAGCGGGAGCGGGGGGGTCGCGAGGGGCTGAGGGACAGGTCGCCCAGCCCGGTGCCGAAGCGGAGCTCGAGGCTCGAGGCGCGGTACTGCATGGGTGCGCGGACGTGGCAGGAGGGTCGCAAGGTGCGTCGAGTCTTTCAGTCAGTGTTTGGATCCCGCTGATCCGTCCCTGCGCAGCTTATCGTCGACCATGGCAACGGCGAGGTCGACGTTATCGACATCGATGCCTCTCCCGAAGAGGCGCGCAAGGCGTCAAAGCGGGCCGAGAAGGAGGTCGTCAAGATCCCCGACGAGGCGGTCGAGCAGGAGAAGCGACGCTTGACGAAGCAGCACGGTCCGGGCGAGCACGACAAGAACGCCGTCAAGCGCGCCGCCGCCAAGATGATGCGGCAGGGTTCCGCCATCCTCACTCGCAAGGATGAGGGGCTCACTCCCGAAGAGAAGGAGCGACGACGGCGCGAGAAGCTGGAGCGCGACGCTTGGTGCCGCAAGGAGCGCAAGTACCGCGACTCGAGCCCGCAGCGGGGCGAAGAGGAGGAGTGGGTCGAGGGCGACAAGGTGCGTAGCGGCGAGCCGTACGAGCTAGCAAGCAGCGGACTGATTTCGGTTTTCGCGCGCAGATGGTGACGGAACGAGGTGACGAAGTGTTCGTCCGCGACTTGACGCCCGAGGAGAAGCGACGCAAGGCCAAGAAGCATCTTGCCGCGCTTCGCTCGCTGGTCCACTCGACCGAGGGTCTCGAGGCCGAGATTGCCAAGATTGCCCGCACCTTGTCGCACGAGCGCGAGCAGCAGGAGTCGCTGCAGAAGGGGGAGAAGGGCAAGAAGGCGGCTGCACCACCGTCTATTGAAAGGATTGACGAGTCACCCGAGCCGTCTCGAAGCAGCACGCCTGAACCGTCGACCTCGCAACCTCGCCGCCACTCTCCTCCCCCTCGCTCGCACTCGCCCGAACCGATGGCTCAGCTTTCGTCTGGCGCTGGCCCGTCCTCCGACAAGGGCGACCTGTCGCTCTTCCGCACCGACCGCATCGAGCCAGAGTCGGACGAGGAGGAGGCCGCGCCACTACCCGCCGCCGCTTCCTCGTCTCCTGTCCCTCGACCGATGCCGGGTCGCCAGCACTCGTCCGCCATGCAAGCCATGCGCGAGATAATCTTCCGTGGCCGTGGCCGTGACGCCTCGGCTTCGCCGCCGCCGGGGGGATCCTCGCGCGAAGACCCCATCAACCGCGACCAGGCCGCCTCGCCCTCGATCCGCTTCGCCGCCGTCAACCGACCCGAGCGTGACGGCAACGGCGGGGGGGGGCCC